CCCCCCCAGTGCAAAATAATTTCCTAATTTGGTATTAAAATGAACTTATCAACTATAGATATTTTAAACACATGGTACGTAGTTACAAACATGGTGGTTGGGCAACATACTTTTTTGCGACACATACTTAACTGCTCTACTATCATCACTAGTTTCAAACAGATGAAAAGTTGTTGGGGTTTTTTTGCTATGCTTCAATGATCGCATGATTTTATTTTCAGTTCTTTTATTACGAGGCACACTTGTTTACTACCATTTAACTTTTTAAAGTCTTGTGCATAATTTGCTCGTTTCATCAGCCAAGACACACACTTGTTTTGGGAAAAGCTGATTATTACAATGTGAATTTGACACTCTGCTGAAAATGCCTGCCACCCTACAATCATACCTTCTGATGACATACCACAGATGAGCGTTCACACAGTTGAATTTGTCCAACTCGACCATCCATTATCGAGGATAAAAGTAGTTATTTTTAGTGTTTTACTACTTTTAGCGCGTGCAGTCCGCAGGCTACACTGTATGCTTGCCAGGAAGCCGAGAAATCGGAGAATATTTCTGAGCATTCTCGGGTTCACATGGTTAATAGGGCCTACTAATTGAAAAGCACATACCGCATGCTGTAGAGCGTGGATATGCGCTATATAAATGCAATTAATTATTAAATATTATTCACATTATTCTCTTTGACAAGTGATTACCTGGGGCGGTGCCGTTTTATAACATTAAATGTAATATTTAAAAACCGCAAGGTGGGCAGTGGTCGTTTGTACAGGTGATTGTCTCAGAACGGTGGCCGCAAGAGCAGGGTCGACTACAGATAACCAACGCTCTTTAGGACAGCAATATCAAGTAAGTAACTCTTCAGGACAGTAATGTTTGAGTTTGAGTTTGATGTGATCAAAATCAAGGGTGAGCCACAGACAAAATGTTCATGGCAAACAAATACAATGGAGTCTTTTAAACAGAAATCTGCGTGACTGACACATTTTCTTTAGTTTAGCCGGGTTCTCAATTTAAGAGAGTGTCCAAAAACAAGTAGTAGAAGGGGAACAAATCTGGGATTTACCACTGTTTTTGGATTATCCCAGTTCGGTTTAAGTGGACTCCACTGCACGTGCATACATGGGGTGTTTTTTCTATATATATAACTGAAAACACTTTGTCATGTGCTTTAAAATATCAAGAGTAAGTAAGTAAGGCAGGTCATTGATCTTTCCTCTGTCCTGGTTCACTTACTTTAAGCCCTTTGTCATCACCACTCCTCAGTATGAGCTAGGCACTCTCTGTTTCACTACTACTACTACTACTAAAGTGAGGGAAGAAGCATAATATGTGACCTTGGAAGACATGGCGATACACAGTGACTGATCTATCCGCCCTTTCTCTTATCTTCTACATCAAGTCTATTTTTCCTTCATTTTTGCACGCTACGGTAGAAAACATAAGACCCAAACAGCTGTCCCACCTAAACATCTTTCTCTTGGTTCCATATTTTTGTTCTTCTGCAAAGTTATAATGGAAAGCTTCCCTCTTTCACTGAGCTTTACAACATCAATATTGTGAAAGCAGCAAAGAAGAGCATTGCTAGCCGCAAATGCCTACTAAATTCAGAATATCAGACATCTGTCAGACGTAAACTGTTTTATTTTTTAAAAAGCAGGAACCAACAAGTATAAAAAGTCATTCCTATCGTCATCAATATGAGCTATTCAGTCATGGTCAGTTGAGCAAGAATAGCTTTGTGAATAAAAAAAGTAATAAATATTTTGTACATCCATCCAATGACAAGTCGTGTGTATACTATACGCTAGTGTATGTGTGTGTGTATATGTATGTGAATATGTGTGCGTGTGTGTGTGTGTGTGAGAGAGAGAGAGAGAGAGAGAGAGAGAGAGAAAGTGTGTGTGTGT